GTCAGGTGCGGCGTCTCAGCAGTATCTTGAGAAGCGGAAGCTCTCGCAGAAGCCTCCTCTGACTGCATCGCAGGTGCGCGCTCTGGAGAGGATAGTTTTGGGCCTGGTCCCCGAGGTTTCGGCGGCTGCAGACAAGTATGCTGCAGGATGCTTTTTGTTCGCAGTGTATGCTCGTGCACGCTTCTCGGACATGCAGGGGGCCACTGATATGCTCAAAGACATTGTGGAAGGGGAGGATGGGCCTCGTGGGTTTCTTGAATCGAAAGTGACTCGGTCCAAGACGAGTTACAATCTTGAAAGGAAAACCAGATATCTCGCGATGGTCTGCCCCATATGGGGCCTGGAGGCCGATTCTTGGGCTATGGAGTGGCTCGAGTTAGCGGGCAAGCATGGGCCGGATTGGGGGCCCGACCTCCCTATGCTCCCATCACCGACCGATGGGGGTCGGTGGCAGGCTGCGCCGATGAGTGCACAGGCTGGCGCGAGGTGGCTGAGACATCTGCTATATCGCGCTGGGGAAGACGTGGCTGCAGTCAAGAGCCTTGGGACGCACAGTCTCAAGGCAACCCTTTTGAGCTGGATGGCGAAATGGGGTGCGAGCAGGGAAGTGCGCGCTGTCCTTGGTTATCGTTCGAGTGCTAGCCGTGGATCCGAAGTTGTGTACGGGAGGGACAACGTTGCACCTGCCCTTAGGGAGTTGGAAGAGATGATTGGGTCGGTTGCTCACCGACGCTTCTTCCCAGATTCAACTCGTTCGGGGATGTTTTCTGAGACCTTGGCTGCTCGCAAGAAGGACTCTGCGGATTGCGAGGATATCTCGGATTCATCATCGGATCGGAGCGCCGATGAGGAGGAGCCAGATGGAGGCGAGGAGGAGAAAGCCGTTGAAGACAGCGGTGGTGTCTTCGAGCCATCAGAGGGCCTTCGTGAGGGGCTTGACGGTAGGGCAGTTTTTAGACATGTCCACACACGCTTCATACATGTTGTTGCTTCTGAGGAGGGCACGGCTTTTAAGTGCGGGCGGCAAATTTCGTCGTCCTATTTTGAGTGCCCGACGGTTCCGAGGTTTTTGCATCCTGTCTGTAGGCAGTG